CTGGTTCAAATTCGACGATACAGACGTAACCGAATGGCAGCTCAGCTTGGAGGTTAGCTTTTTTTTAAAAGCGGCAATTTCTTGATTTTGGCTCTCGTGGGTCTGTAGGTGATGCGCTTGCACGTAGATACTATCAAATATACATATGTACATACATGTATACATTTAAGTAGATATGTGATACAGGCAGTGCTTGGTTTTCTGTACGTTGATTGAAATTGTAGGAGATGCGAAATATGTGGTTTGGTGGCGATTATCTTTCGGAATCGCTCGAAAGTGGCACCATTCACTTTCATAAGAAGAAACAGAAGCGATGGTGGAATGCGTATTTACTGATCTATGAAAAGGTTAATTATCATGAAATAGATGTTAATTGATTTGAATTAGTTACATGGGGGATTGGTGAGGTTGTGAAAGAACAAGCAGTTTTGAGGGAAATGATTGCCACGGTCTTCTTACAGCACAGAAATAAAACGGTGAAGAAGTAAAGGGAAGGAAGATTCGGGCATATGGGAATCCATCTTTGAAGGCTACATACATATATGCAGGCTCAGATCACTTGCATGATCATTAGCACTATTTCTTGACGAAGTATTACTTTACCAATCGCTCGAAAAACTTAAATTCTATGGACAAGACGTGTCGCTGGCTTGCTGACACTCGACAGGCGCGAGATATTGGCGAGTGGTACTTGCAATGAAGCAAAAACGACTACCTGGGCGTGTCCGGGGTCGAAGGGATGGGGGTTACTCACATACATCAAACAAGCGGTGAGTGCTAACTGGGAGTATTTAACCAAGAAACGAAAGGTCTGGCATAGCTCTGTCCGGTATAATGGGAGCATCCCAGCAACGCCAATAACATCGAGCATGTTTGCCAAAGGCAAGCAACTCAACAGCATATATAATCAGTATTGCCACAATCCCTAGCGACTCTGGGGGCTTCATATTCGAAGCGAGTTCGATTTTCGCGGTAGACTTTGTTCAAAGCAACACGAATTTCAGTATGGCTTTTTGCAGGTACCAGCAAGCGCGTCAGTATTTTTAGCTTCATTGGGGGAGATGACCAGCTCATCCTCCTCTACACTGCCATCGCATTCACCTCTTTCCTCGTCCAACAGTCCCGTTGGTTTGGACAAAAAAATTGGCGCCATGTCCATCAGTGAGTCATTTTTCATCAGTCATTCTCCATCAGTGAGTTATTTTGCACGCAAAAGGCTAGTACTTTTTATGCGTTTTTTGCAGCAATGCAATGCAAAAAACGCATATTGACGAGAGGTTGTCTGTG